TAAGCGAAAAACTTTTGACCTGTTTTTAGCGAAATTTTTACATTTATACCCCCCAAAACCCCCCTAAATATTGACCTAGAGCAACCAAATTTGCACAGGGGCGAGAACTCCAGAGGGCCCACCTACCTACCAAATTTGGTGTTTCTAGGTGCCATAGGAGCCAATCGCGAGGGGGGGGGGTCGCATCGACCCCCCCCCCCCTGCCAGGCCGTGTTATGAAAAATGCCCTGCCAGGGCGAGGGTTAAGGGTGCAGAAAAACCGCAGAGCTCTAGGACAGACTTATTAGAGCTGAGGATTATTGGCATGAAACAGGCTTTGGGAAAACATTTAAGGTAAATAATTGACAAAGATATGGCAAAGATATGATACTAGGACTGTCGGAATCAAACAATAAGAAAGGGTCTAACTGACAGAAATATAAGACGTTATTGGCGCCAAGTGTGCTTATGCCTTTCAAGGAGTTAACATAAAACGAGTATAAGATAAGTTTTGAATGTGCAATTTGACTTACTTTCACTAGGTTCACTGGCTTTCTCATGCGCGTGCTCTTACCTACGAATTGATACCAATATTTTATTACAGAATCTGCACCAGGGCTCAATCTTATAAACGCCGTGGAATGGATATGGCAGCACTGGCCGAATTCAGCCATGCCGTAAACGACTATCAAATGCAAAATGGTTTTCACGCATATCAGTCCATCGTAATTTGACGGTCTAAAGAATCATTTCGTTGACTCCGATAAACCTTTTTCAGCACTGGTCTCACTGTGAATGTTACCAAATGCCGTAAATAGAATAGTACGGCATTTTATAAGATTGGGCCCAGTAGCTACATGGGACAGCGTGTCAAAATTAGTGATGAATGTCGCTACTTAGGATCTCTGATCTCTCTTCAGCTTTTTTCCTCTTTTCTTCAATTTGTTCTCGAAGAGACATCGGCAATACGATGTCATGGAGAAGCAGATGCCATATTCAGCTTATCCAGTAAGTGTTATATTGTTATAGACAAAATAGCCAATTGTTTACATTGAAAAATGATAAATGTTCGAAGAACCAAATCACCCGGTCCGAACAATTAGCGCTACGGCGGGTACCACGGAATCATCTCTGATCTCAGGTGTGTAGGAGGGGAAAAGCACAATAAAAGACATTTCTTTGCTTTTCACTAAAACGAAAGACAGCATTTATGGGAAGAAAAATATGCAGCAGCATTTACATTCAGATCGAAGAAAAATTTGTCTTTATAAATCCTGCTATCAAGTTTCATTGGAATCGGAGCTAGTTAGAGTTCTCCGTGTTTTATGTTTCTGTTTTCACCTGCCGTAACGAGTGCAATGAAATGCAGATACACACACGCAATCAAAAACAATGTATTGTAATGGAAACATTACCCGGTGTTTCAACACGAAAACAAGAATGTTCATGTAACTTGTAAACATTGTCTGCATAGGTTTTTGCGAAATATTGAATTATAATTGAAAACAACTCGAAGTAGGAATGCAGAACACTCGGAAATGCGTCATTAGATCTGCACTGTTCGATGCTTTTCTGTAGTCAAACGCTTAGCAGCATAAAATAATATTGCATATTAAAAATGTTGATGTAAAACATTCAGCATGCCATGTAGCATAATTTGCCTCTCCGTTTTAGTCTAAGTAGCGCTGCAATCCTTTCCAATTACTCTCTGCACAAAAGACCCTTTCTAACCGCACGTGCGCTACCAAGGTCGGGTCTGCAACTGTGGCAGCCATAATTGTCCAGTCGGTAATCCAGGCCAAATTGTGGGCCACTGCCAGACGTGTATCACTGGATTTAGAGAACGGTGGCTCAGAATTGAAAACGGAGTAGCCGTGGAAGCTGCACAGAAGATGTGTCGAGTGCAGTTTGCAGATACACTTTTTAGAAATATATTTACAGCGTGGAAGAGGACGGAAGAACCGTCTGGATTTGAATGCACCTATGGACGCTTTTTACTGCTTACCCGAGCGATTCCAAGTTAGTTGTTTCATTCCGTTCACCTACATTTGTCTCGTGCGAACTATACATATTCTACGCTAAAGTCTACACTAAAGATTAGGCTACAGACTTCGTACGCCTAGTGATTTCATTGAAATAATTCTAGTAGTTCTTACATGTAAGCCTCTTGCCAGAGTCATAGATGACTCTGGCAAATGTAACTGCTAACCTGCTAGAGATAGATCTATCTCTAACTACATCACAGACAAATGATGCTTCCCGCAGCTTCCACATACTATAACTATCAGCCCCCTCACCTTGCTCCCTTCTTTATTCGCTAGGTCTGGACGATCGGAAACACATCACACAACCCTTCCTCTCTGTTCTTCTCAGATCTTCCAGACGACTGTCACTTCTGTGAGTCACCAAACCTTTCCCCTCCGAGGCGTGGAGGACAGTATCGTCAGCTCTATATATCACCTGACCAGACCCACCGCCGTCCAGACCACATCAGGGCGGTGTTACCTGTCATTTCAGTCGACGGCGCAACCCTTTGGGGCGGCGGGCGCACTTCAAAGTCGGCGAGGTCGAAGGTCACGCGCAGGTGACACCTGGGGTTACCGCCGGGGGGGGGGGGGGGCAGGAAGGGACGGCCGGGTAATTCGGGGCTCGGGCCGGCGATGACGATATGTGGGATGTCGTCGATGTCTGGTCTCATTAGAGGCGACGATGTGACGACTGTCCAGGGCAAAGAGTAGTGAGAAGAATCGTGAAGGAAATGGCAGCGATTATGTATGTAAGTAGCAAATCGAAAATAAAAACAGTCAACAGTGAAATCGTAACAATGGTATAGGTTCAAATGAAATGCATTCTTGAGGATATACTATGAAAGGACAAAATTATACACACCTTTTATAAGAGTTCAAAATAAAAAAAAATCTTAGAAATATTTGAGTGCCAGGCATGACAACCAGCATGACAACTATCTAGCCGTCATCCGCTGATTAATTCAGTCGAATGTCCTTTTCTTCTCCATCGCCATCACCAACACCACCACCAACACCACCAACACCACCACCATCACCATCACCATCATCACCTTTAAAAGCACTAACACCATATACCCCTAGCCAGCCTTAGTGACGGCGGCGGTATTGCATGGAATTGGCGGTGACGGCGGTGTCGGCGGGGCCTCTCGTCTGCCAGACTCCTTCAGGGCACCATACGGTGGCCATTGCTAATTGCTCTCTGACCTCGCTGGGAGCGCAGCACTGGCTGAGCGTCGGCCCGTGCCACGTAGACCTACGGGGGGGGGGGGAGGGGCTATGGAGGCTGGAGAGACAGGTATTTGATGTGTAGCCCCAGTTTTTTTTTCAATTTCTCTCGGTTTAATTTGCGCAATGTTCGATGTCTCTGTGGATATCCACTTGTTTGTGTGATAAAGTGGGAGGAAGACAGTGAGAAAGAATGAGCTGGTGCTGTATGGCTTACACTGGTGATTAGTTACAGCGCATGCGCAAATAACAGACACGTGGACCAGGCGTTGGTGCAAACAGAAACCACAATCAAATAGCTGGCGGATTATCAGAAAATCTCCGAGTCAGCAGTAAATAAGGACCACCACCTACTGTGAGATGTTGAGGTGCAGCAGCTTATCAGTCAGACGGATAGAAACGAGCGCGGCGCGGGGTTCCAGTGTGGTTCAGCGGTTTCTAAGCAGTTCCGAGGGAAGCATACAGCAGTGAGAATCAGTTAGTTGTGTATGGTGAAGCTGGCGAAAGAATATGTTTGTTAAATGTTGAGTTTATGAATTACCATATGAAAATAAGTTCAAAATGCGAACTTTTTAAACTCAAAGCAATCCAAGAATCACACTTCTTAGGCTGCGGCTCATGTCAATTGACGTTATATGAGTCAGACCCTAGTGGGGCTGATGCTCGTTTCTAGACGGGCTGACACGTGTTTTTTTTTGGGGGGGGGAGAGCAATTAGCGGCTTCCCAGTTTCCCACTCATCAGCCCTCCATCACTATACACAAACTCATCGCTGTAGATCATCCTTTCTTCGTTACACCCTTATTGCCTATCGTCGAAAGTAAGACTTCTCTTCCCTCAAAGCGCTCCTGAGCCTAAGTCATTTCTTCGCTAAAACAAAAACAACTTCCAACGTTTCATACCATCTCACCTAATTACATTCCGGCGTTAGACCCCAATCACACCTCTAACCTTCGAAACTCCCGACCTTGCCCTCAACATTCAAACTCCCCAAAAACACCCGAGCGCATCGCCGCCACGTTTCTCTCTGCCCAGAAGCTCGTGCCTAGTTTGTCGCGGCTACCCCGCCCCGTCTCCGCCAGATTCCTCCCCTAATTAACCGGGTCCAATGTGGCTATGCCCACTCGCTAATTGACGCTCCGCTCTCTGGGTGGGCTCTGCACTTGCACGCGGCCGTCCATAAATAACAAATACAATTAACATCAGTTTGATGTTATTATCCGGGTGATTGCCGGGAATAATTGGCGACTGGAGTGAGGCGGCGGTGGTAGCCACTCACTAGCTTGGAACGGAACTGGCGGTTGCGTGACGGGGAAGGCGTGAGCGTGCCGGCAGCGCACGTACAGAGGTGTTGGTGTTTATAAACACGGAGTGGTGATAGATGGGATACTATCAGTGGTCGGTCAGGCGGCGGGGGGACGGCAATTGGTATAGTAGGTGCAGAGTGGTAGGAGCGGAGAAATGTCGAGGAGTTTTGGATAAATGTATTTTTGCGTTTATGCTTTTGAAGAGGATGTTTTCTGAAGGGTTATTCAATAAAATTACAATAAGGGTTAGCAAAGAGATAGAACAATACATCTTTCATTTGAAAGCAACACTACGAAGTAAGGATGCAAAGTGAATAGCTGCAAGTTCGTTTTAAATGGTTGAAAACTAATAAAAATCCACCTAGAACAACATACAGCATCGAAGGATTATTTCTGGATCGACGTGAAGTTGACTTTCATGGTACTTCTCCCCCCTCAAATCTCAGAAGCAAAACGACAAGTAAAAACTTGGTTGCACTATTTTTCACAGCCCATATAAACATTTCGATCTAGGGCACATCCACAGCACGCTACAGCAGATCTATCAACACAATCCCCGTAGAACCCGCTCTCGTATAATACCAGAATCGCACATTTTATGCAAATTTCTATCCCTGGCAAATCCCAAGACAGGGATCACATGGCAAATTTCTACCACTAGTTAACCGTTAAAACTTAAAAGCACTTACTACGTCACGTAAAACACTATAAAAAGGTACAGTCACTATCAGGAAGGCACAAATGCCAATACTGGCAATACAAATACTGATCGTTTCTTCCAAAAAGCGTTTTAGTAGCCCCTGAAATCAGCAATGAAACTATGGGACGATGCAAAACACGACTGAAATCATGGCAGTCACTCAGCGCACACAGTGAGTCAAGCCCCGGCATTGAGCTCCTTGACAGGTAACCATAAAAGTCATGTTCACATGACTTACTACACATAGGCGTTGTGTCCCTTGGAGGAGGCCCATGGCAATGACACTAACACAGAATGGAGAAGCCATGTCTGTCATTCAACATTGATGTGTGTCATGTGAAACTATCGGCATCCATCAATGGAAGTAGAGCTTCCACTTAGCTCTTGGCACACCGCGGAACTCTTACACCTCAGATGAGCTACATGTCACCCATGGTCCCTCAGTGACACTCGCATGGCACTCACACATGACACTCAAACATATCACCCACAATGGCACTCATGCATGGCACACGCTACATTCATGGCACACAACGCCTTCACCCGGTGGGGAGATCGATTCCAACCTCACCCTGACTAGACTGAGTTCCTTCAAATCCAGCAACTTCTCCCTCTATCTCTTCAGCATCTTCACTCTTCCGGCTCCAACTGTTCTTGGAGAGCGAGTATATAGGTGATCGCCATCTGGAGAGTCTCATGTTTGGACAGGGGGCAGTCAGATCCCGAAGGAAGGTGCTCCCTCAGCAGATCAAACGCCTCGTTCAACCGCTGCATGCGCCGCCTCTCGCGGTAGTTGGCGCTCTCTCTCCGCCTTCTCCACCGCTCTGCCGCCCGTGAAGAGGACACAGAGCGACTCTTTGAGGGGTTCAGCTTCACCAGAGACGTGCTAGAGGATTGAGATTTCGTCGAGGTTGTGTTCTCAGATGGCTCGGTTTTAGCTGACGCCGTGGCAGCGGGCGAGGCGGCTGGTGAAGAGGTTCTCAGTTGAGGACTGCAGAGGGACTCAGTGGAGACGGAGCCGGACGGAGACCGGTCGGGGAGCTCGGGGGAGGTGTAACACTCGGAGGAAGAGGACGGGGAGGAGGCAGAGTGGTGGAGAGGACTGCGGGCGGGGTCCAGCTCCGTGAACCGTCCCCCGCCGCCGCCGGTACCGGCGAGATGATCACCTGTCGGAGAAAGGGAGCAAATCATGAACGACGTTCACGAAAAAAAATGGTTTCTAAGCAATTTTATCTAATACTTTTGATGCAGGCCAGTAAGTTACAACGTCTTTTTTGCGTTGATAACAGCACTCACTGCTAAATACCTGTAAAACAACTGCATCCCTAATGGCAGGTGGCCAGTCTATGTACGTTAAAAAATACTTTTTGACTTCGTATATGAAATAAGAATGCCAAATATCGTAGATATTCTAAGCAAAATAAGACGCTAATTGTTTAGATATAAGGATTATTACGAATGCACACAGCATATCATTGCTATATATCCTTGTGATTATATATAATTTAACTTAGCCGCAGATATAAATAAACTTAAAATAAATTCAATTGAAAATCAAAACAAAACGTGTGCAAGGGAAGCTTCAAAGTTTCTAAGCATTTATTTGTGGCTCTAAAATATAAGATCCCTTTCAATGACAAGAGAGACGCAAACAGTAGAATAGCTGCTTTCTTTTGCAAACACATTACCAAATATGTATGAAAAGCACGATAACAAATGCTAAAATCACACCACATATCAAAGCCGCTATGCATTACGCACCTGCCCTGAACTGTCTGGTAGCCGGCCTTCCGAATCCGAACTGTTCCAGCTCCTCTTCCACCGCCATTTCGCCACAGATTCTTCCTTCTTCGTCTTCTCTGTCCAGCTCTGCCGACGCCTTGTAGTGGTTGAGGAGAACTCTACTCATGCTGGTCTCTTCCAGTAGCTGTTCATAACACAAACTGTCCCCGAGCAGTAGACCCGTGTGCAGCGTATTCTGTATGAGGTTGGTCATCGTCGTAAAAAATGAGGACCCAAAATAAATGAAGAAGTACGCACGCGCGTGAGCCCGACGTTTGTCCCTCGGCGGCGCGCGCCTGACTGAAGAGGAGAAGGGAGTCGGGCCAGCACGCGACCTCTCCGCGCTGATTGGCGGAGAGCGCCGGCAGGCTCCGCCCACTGCACCTCAGCTGGTTCCACCTGTCGCCCTGTGGCGGTATTCGGTGATCAGCTGACGGCTGCACTGTGCACTCTGAACTGGTGCACTGGTGCACTGGGGCACCACTGCACCACTGAGCTGGCCTGACCTAACAACAGGTTAGGTACCTACCTAAAATTGGGCTGGTAGCCATTTTCTTTAGGAAACACGTGCCATCAAAATTTGAATGACGCTTCGGGCGACCCGTAAGACGAATATCAAGATTGGAGATTCAAGATGACACTTCGCCGTTAAGCCTGTTTTATAGTTGGTTATTAGAGTTATTCACACAAGTTATTGACTCAACTCAAAGCTCTTTGGATGTGTAACCATTGACCATGGTTCCTTTCGGATATATAGCCATTGACAATTGGTTCCTTTCCTGTGGATTGCCTGTTTCAGTCGTTGTATCTATTCACCGTTCGAAACATTTCAACAGTAAATAAAACGAAGCGCACGCCAGCATTATGTAATAGATAACAATAACATGCACAATAAAATGTGCAGTGGGGAAGAATAGCTACCAAACCTTTTTCAATAGCCTGAGATCTGCTTATTGTTAGATCTGTTAATTCATTTTCAATTTCAATTTATAAGTAACAAGCAACTTCGAACAAATTCATGAACAGTGCTATTAAACAATCGTTTTCTCTATGCGTTTGTAAATAATCAGACATGATTGAGTTTTATTCACGATCGATGGCAACACAAGTCAAATTCCTAAAATCATTGGTTTTAGGAATTTGACTTGTGTTGCCATCGATCGTGAATAAAACTCAATCGTTTTCTCATTTTCATTGCTTTCCTAAGACGAAGAATACAAACGTTATTTCCTAAGAATAGAAACGTTGCCGTCAAGAAGCAGATAAATCAGTTATGTTCTCTACGATATCAAGAGATGTGGGATATTAGAGCCATCTGTGAAAAGTGAGCTGCAGCGTGTTTTATTGCTGAACACAATCCGAAAATTTAATCCATTTCTTCAGAACTGCGCCTTTCGCGCCCGTTCCCAATGTGAGGTCTTGTGCATAGTTTGAGCATGCTATGACGGATGAACGGTTACATACTTGGAAACAGAGGCAGTGTGTAACTCTGCTGATTATGGGCCTGTTCCAGCGCCTCCAGTAGAAATTCTTGACCGGAGACTCTACCAGAGGTTTCACTGGAGGCGCTGGAACGCACTCTGGAGATTTCTGGAGATTGGCGTCATAGATACCAAAAGAATGACGATTGTTCTCTCTTGAAACGCAAAATTTGTTTTCAATTTTAGTAAAAAAGATTAACAAAATTATAGCAATGTAATTTTCTTTACATTCAAGTGGTAAAATTATCAGTCAAAAGTTCTTTATTTACATTCGTGATTGTCACATGTGCGCCATAATTGTAGACCAGAGCCTCCAGAGAAATTTGGACCTCCCAACTCTCTGGAGGCTACTGGAGGTTTCTGGAGCTTTGGCGAGAGCTTTCTGGAGCTTTCTGGAGGCGCTGGAACGCTCTCTGGAGGATTCTAGAGCTTTCTGGAGGTTTCTGGAGGTTTCTGGAGGCGCTGGAACAGGCCCTATTTCGAAGCACATTGCTATTGTTGGCTGACAAATGACAATTAAAGAAGTAAAAGTGAAAGCTAGACATCGTAACATGCGTTAATGTACTGAACAGTTCACTTAAATTCATAGAAGCTGGTGCCATAAAAATATTGTTTTTGAGTTGTTCACATTACCCACATGACAACAACAGCCATAATGAAGTCCTCTGAATACATATATATTACCGCTTGCAATTAACTACGTATGCTGTGGGCCATCCATTTCACTCATAACCCCCGTAAAGCCGTCTACCCGTAGTGTAGGTCATCAAATCTCCATGGCAACATAGATGAAGCAGAGATAAGAGTCGGCTGAGAACAGCAATCTCAATAATAGTCCACAGCTGTCTTCGGTGAGGGTGAAAGGGAACTGAGAGACCAAGTGATTAGTTGTAGAGGCAAACAGAGGTGGTTAGGGACTCTTTTAGGAATACCACTTGGGGAGAATAGCCTAAGCGTTTATGAAATGCATGGCGACCTCATGACAACTGTAATTGGGCTTTTTAACGCAGACCAAGATCTTTTTGAAGTGTTGTGTGTCAAGCGAGGGCTTTGAGCTCAAAAATGGCAAGCGTGATCCTAACAAATGCATAAGATCAGCAATTGGAAATGATAACTGAACGAGTTAGTTAGCTGGGTCAAAATTTGATTAATGCAGTTAGACGATAAATCAGCAGGATCATGAGCGTGATCCCTCTAGTGAGAAATAAAGCAATGGTGTTTCACAAAGATGGCACTTTTCACCTTGCCTCGTAATAATCTGTGACCATCGGTTTGCCATCAAAGTTCATCTTTTCAAATCTTGGTCTATACGTGATACGCCACCTCAACAAAACACTAAAATCAACGCTTATACTAGCTGATAACTATACCTTGCTTCTTGCTTAGCTTGCTCCAGTAACCCATTTCAATGCCCTCGACCTGCGTGGGAGGTCTAACAATCCCACCCCCATCAGCCAGTCTCATGAGTGTGAATTCACGCCTCGTGTAGCGAAGCTTGTTTCATTCTACCAGGTAGCTTCTAGTTTCCACGCCTCATCCATTGATATTGCGCTCCCTCTGCACCTGAATGAAAATCTGACCCTCGATGTTATATACCTTGCTCTGCAGCTCAATGAAAAGCCGACCCTCATCTCCGCTCCTTCACGGAACATTCCAGCACAAACCCGTGTCATGGACCCTTGCAAACCACCCCGTCATTCACGGGGAGCGGTGCAATCAACACCTCGGGCGTCACATCGTTTGTCGTGATCTTTGACCCCTGACCGCTGGAGCGGTAGGGGGGGGGGGAGGCGCAGTGGACCGAAACGATCTACTCCGTGGTCAACTCTGCTCGGGTGGGGCCGAGTCATTACGGAAGCTCCGACTCTGCAGGTTTGATGGATCACACAAGGCCCTGCTGACAGGGGATATCGGCGAATCCAGGCATCAATCTCCATTGGGCGGTTCGATTAGGGGCATTAGGCGGCATGATAGTCATTAGTCGTTTTTAGTAGCTCGGCCTCTTGTGTTCATTTCGTGATGGTTTCGTGACATCTTCGATATATCTCGGTAATGGGGTGAAGACAAATCTTAAACCACCTAGCTAGTGCTGTAGATAATTAAACGCAACCAGCCGTATCGATTTCTACAGCAATTAAATGCGTGTATGATTTTACTTGATGAATGGCTTAGGCACTTAATCAAACGTCTTTTTTTAGAGATCATCACGACTCAATTACGAATTTTATTCGGTATCTAAAATGATAGCTTTTACCGAGACATTGGACGCACATTTCCAGTCATTTTCCCAAGCTCATCTCCCTCCCATCTCCCTCCCCACGCTTTACCCCCCCCCCCCTAATCCCCGTCAAACCAGGCTTCCTATGGCGTGTCAAGGGGCCATTGGGCCTCGGACAGTGGCCGCTCTCGTCTGCAAGTGTCATTATTTCGGCTCTAGGTGGCGCCCGGTGGTGGCACGTGCAATTTGTCGGCTGCTCGCGCGCTGCCGGCAGGAATGCCGCAGTGACGCCCCACAACTGCCAGCTGATTGTCCGTGGGTGATTACTGAAGAGCGGCTTAGTTGTGGGGCGGTGGTAAGGATGAGCTGCGCGCCACTCTGACAGGCGCTCTGCTTTGTTGGGTGGAATGTAACTTGTGAGGGAGACGTAAGGTGCTTCACAACACGTGGTGCTACATTAGTTAGTAGTAGTTGCACCAGAAATTGCCCTCGTTGAATGTTGTTACTTATGCGCAGACTTGTAAGCGATTCAATTCTGATTGAATCGATTCTCATGAATCGCTTGAAAATGCCGACTCACTGTGATTGAGTCGGTTGAATCACCTCTTGTCACCATATGAATCCTGATTGAATCGGTCACACATGGCAACTGCTAGTGATTGAATCGGCAACTCATCGATTCAAGTTGATTGAATTAATAAAATGATTCAATCAACGTGTGCTGGGAATTGAAGTTATGACCATATTTAGTAGGTACTATATTATGTAGAAATATATGTGGCATTTGCATCATAGTCACACACAATGCACTGCAAAATTTTTAGGTATTTTGTCAGTATGATAAATGCGCACAGCTATCAGTATTGAAAAAACATAAAAATTTTGTTTTAAGTTTTTAATCAAACTGTAAACACAATATACATAAATGTCAATGCATGAAGATAAAAAATGAATGTAAAGTTTCTTTCCAGTGCCCTAAAATCAGTATAGTAATCAAGTTAACAGTAGCAGTAAGCAGGCGCAACACACATGTTTTAGATACCTACCATGTTAATCTTTATATTTTCAATACCCTGTTTCATCAGGACATTTGTGAGCAAGCATAGATTTAGTACTTTTCTATGTTTTTTGTTATTTTCCTAGTGTATTTGGTTGGTATCAGTTTCCAAAAATGTCTTAAATTGATATCACATATGTATATATTTTATATAACATCTTGATTGAATCGCGTTGAGTTAAATCATGAGTTGAGTCATTCCCTGAATCACTGATAATGGGATGAGTCGTGATTGAGTTGAATCACAAGGTCCATGAGTCGTGATTGAATCGCTTGGAAAATCAGACTGTTTGATTGAGTTATGATTGAATCGGTCATTTCATCAAGTGAGTCGTGATTGAATTGATTGAATTTTTTGAATTGTTTACAAGTCTGCTTATGCGTTTTGTACCGCAAAGGTATTTAGATACATTTTGTCAGCTCGTAACGAGAGCTTGCTGCGAAGCTTTGCCAGAAATTGCCAGAATGGAAAGAACCAGAAAGAAACGCGACCAGAGCTGTTTGATTACTTCTGAATAGATAATCTAGC